TGACTTGGGAAGGCCCAGAAATAAAAACCACTGGAGGTGGAAAAGTGCCTGGAGAAGTTACATATGCTTACCCTCTTCTTTCCCTTTCCAAGATATCTGCTTGTGGCTGCTGTTTCAAGCTGGAGGTTAAGCTAGATGGACCTTATCCTTCAGTTCACCTCTTTGGCTCTTGGAGGACATGGCTTTAGGTGTTTTGCTGCTGTGCTCTGAGCTGTATCTATTAATGGTTTCTGTAACTGTTAAGACAACCAGAGCAATATATGGATGGAGGTACAGGTGATATGTTCTAGCTGCTCTTGTCTGATTGAACTTAAAAACAGGGACTCACTCCTTCCTCTTACTTTCATGCAACATGCAGCTTAAGTTTGCTGGACTTCCTGAATTGTCATACTGATATCTTTATTACTCCCAAAGAGCTGTTCCTTGTGCATTGGCAGAATAGGAGAAGGATGTTTCATGCTACAAACTCACCTATTTGATGGTTTAAGCATTAATCAGACTTCTCTTTGAGAGGTTGCTAGTTTGAGGTGAGGCTTTAATAAAGATGCTCTTGCTGGTTTTCCCCTGGCCACTGAAGGTACTACCTGTGAAGTCTCTAAAAATGGTAGTACCTCTAGACATTTTGAAACAGTCTTAATATTGTGGGGGTTTGTTCTTGCTGTTTTCAGTGTTCCAAGTTTTATTTTAATAGCTCTGGCTAAATGTCTGTATGAGAGGAGAATAAAATGCTGAGCTGTGAAATGAAACTGATGAACATAGTACTTACCCTGAGATTGTTTGCATGCTTCTGTCGTTCAGAAAAATGATGCCACCTAAGAGGGAATGCAAGGCTTTTTCTACATAAGGCTTTTGGATGCTTATCTGTTTGACTTGGAACAGAAATATGTTTAAAGTTTTATGCTGAAACTGTCTGGCAGTGTTGAGGTCTCCTGAATAGTCTTTCCTGTGCACCAGAAATGGTCTACAGAGACCTTATTTTTTCCATATGGACGTGAAACGCTTTGGTTGAAAAACTACTCACTTGAACGTGCGTTGATCCAGGACTGATGGGTTGCTTTTCAAGTAAGGCACTTGTTTCTGGAGAACTACACATTCTGTGCATTGCTAAGCAGAGTTCTTGTTGTTCGAGCTTGATGTGAGTGCTGGAGCATTGTGTTTGCTCTTGAGGTTTTGTTCCATCATCTAATGCCATTGGGAGCTGTCTTAACCATTTTTGCCGTGCTAGACAGCATGAAGAGTTTGCAGTAGGGCAGTGTCCATTAGGCTGGAATTTTAATATTGTTCCCGTGCTCTAATTTGGTGAAACTATAAATGCCTTGAGCCTAAAGATGACAAGCTTTTTTTAACTATTACCCAGAGTTTTGTGCTGCTAACTGGTAATAAAATAATAATGAGCTGAAGTACAAAAGATCCAAAAACTGTCTGTGTACCAGCTTCCCGAGACAACCAATAAGGAATGGGTTTGTAGAGTCATCTTCCCTGTTGCGGCAGAAGCGATGTCCTCCTCTGGGAGCTGAAAGGTGTCTGTGGTATACCTTGAACTTTCAGGCACTGTGCCTTGGAAATCTCATCTCTTAGTTCAGGCTGGCACAGATTTCCCTGGCCCCTGGAGGAGATGAAAGACCTGGTTGTGTACTCTAAGGTAGCAGATATCACCTCTTCACAAGCTGCCTTCAGGGTCATTAGTTTTTACTCTGAAACTGAAACAAGCTTCTCATCTGCTCCTTGCTTTGAAAAGTAAAGGGGAAAAACATCTAGCAAGGCTTAAATTTTCTGGTGTAGCCTTGTTCTGTCTCACTGACAGCTGGAAGAGGTTCTGGGGGTCTGTGGGGCTTCTCCAGCCAATGTGATGGTGTTTATTTGAATATCGTGACTGTTGAGGGCTGAACAAGAAATGCTGCTTGTTGACAGCACGCTGAGAAAAGGGGGCTTTGCTGCAGTTATATCTAGCAATGCAGAGGAGCATGTCCTGAATACAGGTGCATGGGACCCATGCCCAGCTCTGCACCCCCAAATGCTTTGTGTCCTTCTGGCTTTGGCACTCTGTAAAATAAATAACTCTTCTTCCTGAAGCAAGTTGCCCGGCAGGAAGCAGAGCATCCTCATCGAAGGATTCTGCGTTACTTCTGCCTGGTTGTACGAAGCCAAGATCTATCGAGTTCAAGCTGAGATGTGTGTCTCCAAGCCTAAGGCCTAGCTATTGCCATCTAGGAGATGTCACAGGAAATGGGCTCGGTGTCTGGAGGTGCTAATTAAACACAAAAGAAGTTTAATTACCTGTCAAAAGCTAGAAAGGGTCCCTCTTGCTGTTTGTGGTTTCGGATTGCCTCTTTCATTGTCATTCTTCCTGTAGCAGCTCTTTCAGTTGCCTTAGCCTTTCCTTCACAAAGGGACATGGTCCCCTGGGTTCTGCATAATGTTAGGCTTTGGACAGTGAGGCTTTCTGGAAAAGGAAAGACTGGAGGTCGTTACTGTGATTAAACTAGTGCTCCAACCGGGTTGTCCACATATTCTTGCTTGTTAACCATTGCTTTTTGTTGCTGCCAGAGGTGGCTTTCTGTTTCATGCCATGCTTGCAGGTAAACGAGGTTCCTAGCTTCTCAGCCTTTTTAACGTGCTGCAGTCATGAGCTGAATCCTTTTTGTTACTTTGGGCTCCTCTGTGCTTTGCCTGAGCCATCTTGCTACGGGACAGGATTTCTGGGTGAGGCCAGCACCATCCGTGTATGGCCGGGGAAAGGATGGAAACTGAGCTCTGCCTCTTGAACCTCTGGTGCTCACAAGATGCTGGAGTCCTGTCTGTGTGAATATGGGAGGAGTCGTGTTTGCTGTGCTGCAGGCTGAAAGATCTGATAGTCAATGTCTTGCATGAGGTGGGGATGGGTTTTTGTCATTTGGTCTTGCCAGTAGGAAGTGGCAGAGGTTGACCAGAGTGGGGGATTTTCTTGACTCCTCCATAACATGTCTGTTGCCTTGTTCTTCGAGCAGAACATGAACAGTATCTAACCGGTTCAAGCCTGAACCTGAGGACAGCATGAGATGATTTATTTACTTTTATTCCTATAGTAAATCATTGTACCATAGAGTGGGTTATAAATAGTCTTCCGTGTAGCTTCTTTGTTTGGAGATGCCACCTCTTACTGGAGGTTGGTATTTATGTAAAGAAACTGAGGCAGTTTCTGGCCAATGAACCCAATTTGGAATTTTTATGCACAACTTTTGTTTTTCCTTCTAAGTTTAACTGGGCTGTGTTTGAAGCAGCAAAAGAGCAACCTTCACTGGGTTAAAGGGTGTTCAGCATTTAAATATGCGGACTGTCATGTTAATGGGATACTCCTATTCTTTGCCCAAGAGTGCTTTCAGGGTTGCAATGTCAAGCAACTAAATAAAGCTGCAATCCCTCTTTCCCTGTGAATATAGGTGCTTGTATTTTCCCTTTCCTGTAGGGCTTAGTTTAGTACAAGTTCGGCTGGTTCTTCCTTGCTGCAACCTTTGACCCGGTCAAGTAACTTGAAATAACTTTAGTGTCAAGTAGAACAAAAGCTTGCCTTAAATGCTTTGCAATCAACTTAATATTGGGGGATATATTCAACTACCTGATGCCTTTTCATTTTAGAGGCATGGGTGTCACTCACCACTTGTTCACTGAAGCTGTGGAGCGGTGGTGTGCGTTCCTCACCCTGGTGGTTGGCTTCATTCAGGAGTCGGTGCTACATAATTGTAGACGAGGATTAATTAATGACAGCTGTTGTGAGCTTGTGGAGACTTTTGAAGTTTTGTACAATGCCATTGAGCAATCCTTCTAGCTTCTTGAGGACAGAAATCATGAACAATATTGGAAGAGCACATATGGGACTTGGACTGGACTGACAACAAGCTTATGAAAGTACAGGGCAGAGGTAGACCGAATTCCTGCGTGCTTCAGTCAAAGTGGCATCTCTTGGTAGGGTGGTGATGGCAACTTCGGTCTACCTTGCACTTGAAGTTGGAGAAAAGAAAAATGCTCTCTGGTACAGGATTTCTTTCTGCTGTGGTCAGGGTAAAGAGTGACCATTTTTTCCCCCTGTGTGCTCAAAGAACAAGCAGTTTCAGAGGTTGGTATGGACCCTTAAACTTCTACCCTTGCTGTAATAGTTGGGAAAATAAGCATCAAAGTGAATGCCCGTTAGGCACTGGGAGCTTGGTTGCTTATAGGCAGTGTCAGAGCATCATGAATAAGGGAGTTCTAATGTAGTATTTCAGTGTGTTAGAAGAACCTGTCTTCTAGAAGAGCTTCTCAGAACTGAAAGTTGCTTTTAAAATTTTAATTTTTGTTAGAACAATACATGTGTTTTCTTCCAAAGTAAGTTAAATGCCCAAGTTTTGCATGCAGAACAGAACAGCATGTCTCTGGTCACCCTGGGCAGAGTTTTTGAGAAATAGTTTTGTTTTGGTTCAACCGTCACATCCCTGTTACAGCACACCGCCCCTCGGAAACTGGTGTTTGGGTCCTGTTCTGCCCTATGGGCTATGTGCTCTGGAGGGTGTTATTTAAGGGGAAGAAGGCACAAACAAAAAAAGCCCTTGTACTTCCTTCTGACCAGAGTGCTCAGAGCACTGCAGGAGATGGAGCAAGCCCAGGGGTGCTGTCATGGGAGTTCAGGTTTGGGAACCTGTTTCTCAAGGTGGGGAAACACAGGGTACCAAAAAGAAAAAACAGAATTATGGAAGAGCCAGAAACATCTATATTTAAAAAAAATGCTATCATCTTCTGAACTAAAATTCATGTTATTGCACGGAAAGCTATTAGTTTGCCCTGACATGGGATAAGGAGAAATACTAGATTTTCCTGTAAGAAGTGGTGTTTGGCTCTGTTTCATCCACAGTATACTTGGAAGCTGGTATATTAAACTGAAAACTGCAAACAATGCTTTTTTTTTTTTAACACTATAAAGCAAGATTGGAAGTTGCTTGTATGAACTGTTACATTACGACTTTCTAAAAATGTCCTTTCTTTTCCAGATTCACTACAGATATGAGTGGCTGGCTGCTTTGCTGCTCCTGTGCCCCAGTACTTGCTACCCTGTGATTTCAGATAACGAACATAAGTGAGTTACAAAACGTGTGGTGAGTATCATGTGCCTTTGATATTCTGGAGCGTCTTAGTGTGCAACTCAAATATTCCTGCCTAAAAAAACTCAGAACAACCATGTAAAAAGGAAGACACTATAACATCCAGTAACTTATAACCAGGGTATGTGAAATATCTGTCAAGCCCATGGAAGGATTCTTAGAGACCCAAATGCAAGTTGTTCAATTCTTATTCCTTATTTCCATTTTAATATTTTTCCTCTCAATTTTGTCAGCATTTTTTGCCTGAAGTAACTTCTCTGGGAACTTGCATCCCTGATCTGCTCTTCCTGCCTTTATTTTTAGAAACATACGTGTTGAGCTTAGAAGTAGGTAGCTGCAATGCTGCTTTTCAGTGATCAGTATCTCCAACAAGGAAATTGGGTAGGATTAAAGTCAGGGAGAATCCAAAGTCTTTTGTGGTGAACTGAAGCTTCCCCCAAAGTGCTTTAATTTTGTCACTGGGAGAAGAGTTGATGTGCTCTCTAGATAAGCATTTGTTCCAGTGTGACAAGTAAAATATGGGCTAGGTTGCCTATTCTATTACAACTGACCTATGAAACGAGCAGAACTCACAACTGAAGGTGTTAGGAAAATTTTCCTCTCCAGAATGGAGAAATCAAAGGGAATAACATTTGTAGGTGAGAGTGTTTGACTGACTCCAGTGTGGAAAGATACCTTGATTTCATGAAACAGGCAATAGTGATGAAAGTAAACAAAAAAGCAAGTGTTTTCATTTGATAAAAATTATGACCTTGAGAGCAGTGCAAGTCTCTGCTTGGCAGGAGGGGGTTTTTTGGGTGTACATAATGAGTACTGCAGGAGTGAAACTGTCACTAGATTTCCCTTTCTGGACTTCTGAAAAAACACATATATATAGTGGCAAACTATTTTTCTGTTCAAACATAAGCCAGTGCAGACTAAGGGATACTGATTAAGTAGTTGGGGCATTTTGTTTAGGGCCATAATTGTGTATCATCCTTTGGGAATACTGTTTCTACTTTTGGACAAAATGATGTGACAAAACAAATTCTTTCTAAATTGTAATTTCCATTTTGCATTTTGTATGTAGAAAGCTTAATGAGCTTTTGCCTTTTGGTAATTTCAGATGAGGAGGGGGCAGATGGGTGCAACAACAGTTTCATGGTTTCAGTAGCTTCCAGCCTGGAGGAGAAAGCTGTTTTCAATTTTGCTTGATATGGTATCTCAAATTATTTTGCAGTTTCATCCCCTAAAACCAATTTATCTTTTTTTTTGTGCCAGTAGTAGGAGTGCCATTAATTGCTTGAAAAGTTTTTAGTTGGAGCAGTTCAGACTGGTGCAGTACAGTGCTTTTAATATCTTAGTATGAGTCCAACTGAGACTGTAGTCATCCGACTGTGCTTAGTTTTATATTGTTTTGTCTTAAACATAAGCACCTGAAGTCTAAAGCTTTGTTGGGTTTCTTTTGTGACTGAAGTCAGTGGCTTGTTTTTCTTCACCCTGTCTGTAAGAAGTCTGGGATCTTGGGAACTTTTTTTTTAATCGGATCAACCTACTTCCATGGTGTTTGGGATTGTAGCGTGCTTTTTCACTTGGGTGAACCTTCTGCCCAGCTCACGATATCTAATTTGTTCCCCCCGTCACTTTCTGTTCAGCCATTTACACCCGAGGATGTGGATTCTTAGCACAGACTGCTAGGCAGCATGAATGCTAGATGATACATCGAGGAGACCCATCTTGTCTTTTTTTTTTAATACAGTAGAAGTTGATAATGCATTACTGAAATTTTTTGTTAACTCTGAGATGCTGAAAAGTGCTGCTGTCTCAGCCATGCATCTTGCTCCCAAGCTGCCTACACTTGTATCCTGTTCCTGCCTGCTTTTATCTTTCTGTATATTTAAGTTTAATATTTAAAGAAGCTCTGATTTTCCCATTTCATGACTCCTACTTGCCCATACTCTATAAGCTAGCACCCCGACTCATGTAATTTACTCATTCAAGGAGCTTTTGTGTCTTCATCTGAATGCTCCCTGCCTCAGGATCCCCAAGTAGAGGTGTGCTGGCCTGGCTTCTTCCCAGCTCCAATGAAACTGGTGCCAGGTGCTTTCACTCCTGTGTTTGTGCTCTGGAAACAGGCGTTGTCCATGCAAGTGAGGAGTTAGCTCTCGACTCTGCTGTGTTGTCCTCCAGTGTGCTTGGTGAACCACATCCAGCTTGAAGAATCTGGCTTTAGGAGCAGATTTTTTCCCTGGATGGCATAAATGAACAAGAGCAGCAGTGGCTGCTGGTTAAATGGTTAAATTCCTGGCTTAAACAGTTGCTTATGTGGTACATCTCCCCTGTGCTCACTAAGTAGTGTGTTGAAGTGGCTTTCTGCATAGTAGTAGATCCAGTACATACTGTTATGGGGTAGACCTGGACAAATGGTGGCTTGTACAGGAGAACGCTGTGCTAAGCGATTGGGGTTGACTGCAGAGCAGACTTCTCCAGGTGGTACTGAGGGAAGCTAGCTGGAACCAAAGTCTTGGAGCCTATGTCCAATAAAGGGAGACAGCAGTGAAAGCCATAGTTGCCTCTGCTGTTCTTTGGCTGTGTATTGAGAGTGGTCCTGATGATGTGTGGTAGCTAAAATATCCTTCTGTACACAAAGCTTTCTAGTTGTATTAGTCATCCATCAGGCTTCTGGATTATTTAAGAGCTGAAGCTCTCCTCAAAGAACAGCAATATCTATTTGTAGAAAGGTACATAATGTGAAGTGCAATTCCAGTATATTAGAGCTACGCTACTTGAGATGTTCTCGGGAATGCTGCCTTTCTTGTTGTGGGACTTCATGATCTGTAAAGCCCCTATCAAAGATGTGTGATCTTATAAGGCTTCTAGTTGGTTTTAGGGACTTGAATGGTGATGCCATTAGAGCTACTTCTCAACTTTTTCCACAAAATCACGCTTCCTGTTCAGTGCAGTGTAGCTTCAACTGGTGGATGTTGGTCTCCAAACACTGATGAACCCCAAGGAAAAGGGGACAATGACTGAAAAGGTGCTCTGTAGCACTAAGGAAAAATATTCTTCCACTAGGCATGGGGGAGACCTTAACTCAAGTAGTTAATGACCAAAACTATCTTCTATGACTCTTGAGCTTGTACTGACTTGGTCTAAGTCTGAAAACGCCTAGAGCTGAACTGGTCCATTTTTAAGCTGTAATTCATCTGTCTCTGCTGTTTATGGAAAATCTTTAGGACAGCTGCTAGCTAGAAGGTTAATTACAATACAGCATGATTATATTCTCAAACTTATAGAAAACTCGAATCTTCGTGGCTTTTGTAGTGTGTATGGCTTCACTTCGTTGTATTCTAACCCTAAAATTAAATGTGGGGTTTCATGTAATGTTTGAGATTCATAGACTGGCAAAATGCTTGTTCTTGCTTATGCAGTCTAGCTTTTATGTAACTCATTATTTTTGCTCAAATCTTGCAGATAGTCTGTTTCCTCTAGCAACAGCCACCAGATGTTTAGCTGAACAAGACTTAATTCTTTAAAATTGACCTGTAAGAAATGTGTGAAGGCGAACATGGGGGCGGAACAATTGTATGTCAGCATGGTTTCCATTTCCTTGCTGAAAACCCAGTGCAACCCATGCAGTTTCATTCGAGCAGTGATGGATCCTTATTTTTTGTGGTATGCTATGAGGCCTTTTCCATGGCTTTCAATGTTTCCATAAATGTACTGTTGGGAGGGGGAGATGGGATCAAGCTGTCTTACTCGAATTAGCATTACTTGGGCAATTAGGACTGTATGGGCTAAGTCTATCTGGTGGATATGCCACCATACTGATCCTGCTATGAATTCTGGTTGTCAGCTAGGCTTCTTACCTACCTGTAGATGTTCTGTGATCAACCTTTGTGCTTTGCTAGACTGACTCTATTTAATATTTCCATGGGGAACCAACTCCTGTCTTGGTTTTTCAGCTAGGTGAAGAGAGTCCCCCAATGTTTTACTGGGGGACATGGGGTGAGCAGTCCTGATGGTAGCTGCTGGGAGGTCCAAGCAGCTCTTTTCTCTGAAACATTCCCATTCTAGGGCTTTCAAGTAGCACTGTCCTTCCAAGACTGCTCTGTAATGGGAGAAGACTGCACAGGGACTCTTCTGCTGGGGGTGAATGATCTGTTACCTGGATTTTTGGGGCTCTTGTTTTCTTCTCTGGGTCTGCAGAGACTAGATAAATCAAAACAGAGCTGTGCCATTTGCCTTCTCTTCTCCACAAGGATATTTTGCTCTGGATCCCGTCATGCTTCCCCTTTTGTGCAGTTTGGACATGAAGGTGTGTGTACTGGACAGCCGAGGTGGTTGTAATGGTGATCTCCTGGCTGGACCCTCAGTCAGTCTCTGAACAGTGTGGTTGGTGTGGGTACGATGCAGCTTTTAAGGATCTGAATGCATGAAAAACTGCAGAGATAATCTTCAAGGATAAATTTATTGGTCTTTAACTGGGGGTACTGGTGACAGGTCTGCACCTGAGAAGTATGGATTGGGTAGTAGAAGTGCAGCTCTGCAAGTGGCTTCAGGGTTTCAGAAGTCAAAGTATCTGCTGGTTTAGGTTACAGACGCTTCTGCTGGAAATACTACTTATCTAGTGCTGGAAATGCTTCAGGACACAATGCAGATGCTCCAGGCTTCACAATTAGGGATTTCGGTACATGCTACCCTTCACTGTGGTGCTTTTTGAGAAGTTCTAGATGCCTTCCCACAAAATTTTGACATGGCTTAAGCAGGAGGTAACTTGCATGTCCTTTTCTTCTAGTAAGATGTGAGACTGGTACTTGAAGTAATACCTCAAACTCCTTTCCCTTGTGCTGCTTGCATCAGGTTTGCATTTGCAATAATTTTCAATACTAGTGTGTGGGGATACTTACAGTAAGACCTTGCTGAAATGAGCTCATGGACCCTGTGCTCGCTAGCCAGTAGCTGGGTTTTACTGTTTACCGACTGTTGTCATCCTTGTACAACAAGTTGCATTT